AGCAGATGGAACGCTGGATGCAGCACTACTCTGAGCTATATTCCAGAGAGAATGTAGTAACTGAAGAAGCATTAAATAACATTGAGTGCCTGCCTGTCTTGGAGGAGCTGGACAGCGAACCAACTTTAGCAGAAATAAAAGCGGCCTTGGATTCCCTTGCCTCCGGCAAGGCACCTGGAAGGGACAACATCCCTGTTGAAGTGCTGAAATGCTGTAAGGAGATCATCACCACTGAACTGTATGAAGTCTTTTGTCTCTGCTGGAGGGAAGGTGGAGTACCACAGGACGTGAAGGATGCAAACATCGTCACATTGTACAAGAACAAAGGAGACAGGGACGACTGCAATAACTACCATGGCATCTCTCTTCTTAGCGTTGTAGGAAAGCTGCTTGCCAGTGTTGTGCTGAAGAGGCTCCAGGTGCTTGCAGACATAGTCTATCCAGAATCACAGTGTGGATTTCAAGCTAATAGATCCACCACTGACATGTATTCTCCCTCCGACAGTTGCAGGAGAAATGCAGGGAACAACAACAGCCACTCTTAGTGGCCTTCATAGACCTTACAAAAGCATTTGACTTGGTTAGCAGGGATGGCCTTTTCAAAATACTTCCCAAGATTGAATGTCCACCTCATCTCCTTAACATCATCAGGTCCTTCCATGATGGAATGAAAGGCACTGTAGTTTTTGATGGCTCAACATCAGATCCCTTTGACATCCGAAGTGGAGTGAAACAGGGCTGTGTCCTCACACCAACCCTTTTTGGGATCTTTTTTGCTGTCATGCTGAAGCATTCCTTTGGAACTGCAACATCTTGGTACAGCATAAACAGAGGAATATGGAATATATGCATAAATCATAAAACTGAGGGACACTTGGTTGATGGCCTAGAGCTGGCAAGCCCAGGAAGCCTAACTTTTTTAACCATAACAAAACACACGGACACACGTCTGGAAGGAAAGGACACAACTTGATTGGTCATATCAGTACCTAGCTGGCTCAGCATTAGGGAGGATTCAGTGCACCAGCTGACCCAAGTGCCTCTCGATGGCAGCCCACCCACCAGCAATTCACTGAGGGTTACCACGAGGTGTGATTCAGTCTGGGAGACCATGCAGACTTACGCCACTCTGTGGCTCCTTTCCACCTAGAATCAATGGCAGGCCTATGGCTCCTGAACTAGGCCAAAGTCTGCCCTGTCCCAGCTCTCATTAAAGGGATTTCTTTATTTTCTTGAGACTGCATGACCTGCTGGCAGTCCCTTAACACTTGCTGGATCCTCCCCAATGTCCCAAACTGCCACAAGAGTTGAGCCCAGCTCAGCTGCTACCCAGCTGCAGCTGCAGCCAATTAACCATAGCTTTTGGAACATCTGTCAACCATCATTCCTCTCCTCAGTCCAAGAGGTTGTAAGAGGCCAGCATGATGGATCCAGCTGCTACCCCATGCAGTCACCATATGTCCTTGTCAACTTCTGCCTAGCAGTGTCCACATTTCAAGGATCCTGAGCGCTCCGCCATATACACCTCTCAAGGAAATTGGACCACAGTATGGCAACCTTGGGGTGCATCTGAAGGTCCCTCACACATGATTTGACACCACAGGAAGGGCCCAAGGTGGAAGACTGAATGAGGAAGATGAATCTGAATGTCTATTGGAGCTCCCTCCGTTGTGGCCGACACTGCTACTCTTCCTGGGCTCTCTGGGGGCTGCACTGCTACTGTCAGACTCTGTGTCTATCTCCTGATGTTCCTCAGTGTCTCATGCCTTGGGTGTCCTCTGATCATCTGCTGGTTTCTGCTTGGCAAGTGAGCCCAGCTGCTCTTAGAGGTGACCTGGGAGAGGTTCTGGAAGACCACCTATTCATCTGCTTCCTATGAGGAATGTGAAGTTGTTGCCCCAGGCTCTCTCTCTCTCTCTCTCGGTAGAAGATGCCCCCGAGTTCATGCCCCCACACACAGACGCCACCCCCTGTCACCCCAACTGGGCTGCAGTTTGGAAAAGGTTGGGGACCACAGGGACGCCACCCTGTCACCCCAACTGGGCTGCGGTTTGGAAAAGGTTGGGGACCACAGTTCTAACCCATAACTGTTAGGTATCTTTTCCAATCCCTCCTGGCTCCCTTTCTCTTGGGAGATGGAGGGGAGAGTCTGGTGTGACCCTTGCCTCCCACAAGGCACACTTTGAGTGCCCTGTTGAATCCCCTGCCTCCTAGAAAGCATGGTGTGGGGTTTAGACACTGTTCCTTGTTTCCTATGAGGCATGGGAGAGCCACCTTGGCTTACCTCTGCCTCTAAAGAAGCCCAGTGGAGGCAACCCTGCTCCTTCCCAGCTTCCTCTGAGGCCTGCTAGAGTGCTCAGTAGAGGCTTCCTCCACAGCCACTCATCCCTTGAGAGCTGGGGGGGACAGGACATTCAGTCTGGTAAATATCTGGTTTAAAAAGTACTGTCCCTTGGCTTTGTTCAGAATGGCCAAGCTGGGTCAATTTCAGTTCTTTTTGAGGAGTTATACAGCATATATCCCCTGGTGGGAGTATCTGCTTGTGTAACCCCAAGTTTTCAGGGCATCCCAAGATGTCCCACCGTTCCTTGGGTCCTGCCCCAGAGGTTTATGACACTGCTTGTTCTTCGCCACCATTTCAGTGTTGTCGCACTGTTGCTCTTGTCTTGTTCTCTGCACTTGTGTTTGTCATCTGTGCTGCCTCTTCGCTGCCATTGCCTGCTCTGGTGCTCCTTGAAGGCCAACAAGCTGCACACTAGCTGGGGTGCTGTCAAGGCTCCTGCTTTAAGCGGGATGGGTGGATCAGAGTGAAACAGGTCCCTTTATTATCAGTTTTCCCTTATATTCTTTTCTCCAAGTTGAGAAAGAGACTTGCTGAGGTTTTGGCAATTTTGGTTTAAAGAGAATAACAGTGCTTGGGAAAAGTGATGTGAAAATTCTACAAACAAGTGTTATAATGCTAAAGTGCACTTTTCCCATCTTCACATTTTCTATATGCAGTCCTTTATATGCAAAGATGGTATCACATATTTCTCATTACGTGCTATATCCTTGCTTATGGCTGCTAGAAACTAATACTGTACATAGAATTCTATGTTTTAACTGTAAGATTTCTGAATCATATTCCCTACTATAAACTATTAAAACTCTTTTCCTCATAGATCGTGTTCCAGAGACAGTCAGACAGCAATTGTTTGTGAAGAACAGGAAGTTTCTCAGGAGGAAGAAACATACGATAAACAAAGGAAAGAAGAAACTGCATACTGTATTGAAATGTGAGTATTTTACTATCACAGACAATAGTTACGGGTGTTTTCTTCTACAGAAGGGAAGAGTACAGCTGTCAAAATATTTTTGGACTAGCAATCCCATCAGCCAATACAAATTAAAGTCCAGCATCTGGAGCAAATGCTAGAAAATACTGAAGGTAGTAGGAAAGAAAGCCAAATATGAGATGAATTGACTTAATAAAAGAAGCTACGGCTTTTTGTTTACAAGACCTGAGCAAGACTGTTACAGGACATTTTGGAGGTCATTAATTCATAAGGTTGCCATAAGTCAGATGCTACTTAACAGCAGAAAAGAACATCTTAAGCACCACACATTCCCCATTTATGCTTTGTCATATTGGAATTGCAGAATCCTTCCCTTCTCCTGAGTCAGAGAGTAAGAAAAATGGTATATCTACTTTACATTCCTTCATAGCACAATTTGATTCTGGCTTCCAAATTTAGTTTGAATATCATCCCTTACTGGGTCAGATAAGAAGATCAGCATGCAGAAGGGTAAGATGATGCAGCAGTGCTTAACTCCAGTGCTTACTGAAAGGTCATTCTTCTTTGTTCATAGTATAGTTGAGTATTATACCTGAGTGAAACCATTAAAAGTGCTGTAACAAGAACATGTTTTTAATTCAGATTTACTGTATCTATATGCATATACCCTAATCAACAACATAGTCACATGTGCTTTATAATTGGTCTGTACATGACTCCTCCAATAACTGACCTAGACATCTTGAAAAAAATGCCCTTCTTCATTACAGGCTCTCATACCAAGATGATGAACATAGACAGCTAACTCCACATGAAGACAACAAAGGAGAAGAAACCCAATACTCTCCGAAGAGTGGGTTCCTACATTCCTTATCACTAAGTAATAATTTTGAAATGTTTCTGAATGTTACTGGATAGATTAGATAAAGAGACAAACAAACAAACAAAATAGGTAGATAGATATATACAGAGAGAGAAAGAGAGAGAAATTCTATGAAGTGCTGCATGTTTTAGGATTTTTAACACATATATTGCACCACTGCATATTGTCTACAGGAATACAGTAGGGCTCTATTTAACACTTATGCTTGAAAAATATTTTACAGCTTGTTGAAAGCTTACTATTTACCAGTGCTTTAAACCTTTACATTAGGATGAGCTAACTCAGAAGGATGAGAGTCATTTTTAAGATTTGCCATCAACCTACGGAATGTAAACCCAAGGAGCAGGAATAATTTTTGTATTTTTAAAAATATTTTTAAAACTACAATAGGACGCCCTTATTGATGGCATCAGTATCCACTGATTCACTTATCTATGGTCTGAAAATATTAAAAATATTAAAAGAAAAAAATTCAGAATTTTTTTAACATGTAACTAGAAGACCCAGTCACTAGAAGGCGCCAGAGATCATGCTATGTATACTCATTAGTGAAGAATACACAGCATGGTACCCTTTAGTGGCCAGTTCTGGTAATGCATGTGAAAATATTTTTTCTGTTTTTTTCCCCTTTCAACATGCTTTATACTTAGGCATTTTAAAAATGGGTTGATGTAATCTACTATTAGGTAGTGCCCCCAGCTCTATTCTGATAAGGATATCCTGAAATAAAACCATTATGTCCATGGTGGTCTATCATGGGACACATGCATATCATATGAATAATATATGAATGTGCCCAAGAATGTAGCCAACACCTCACTAATGAGCACCAATCTGCCACCAAAAGTTATGTGATTTCCATAACCAAAAGTTATGTTATTTCAAGCATAAATTGAGTTCTGATCTGTTTTCAGTGAGAATTATCCAAAGAGGCTTGACATATTTGGGGCTGGTAATTTTCTTTTACAGATGTCTAACAATGCTTACCCAGTCTCAGAATCTGCTTGGGATAAAAGTGAGCTAAAAATAAAACTACTTGAGAGTGGATTAAAATTAAAAGTAGTTGTTAATTGCAAGGCAGGAAAACACCCCATTCTGATATTACTCTCCACTGCAAATGCATCATCCCCTCAAAGATATGAGGTGAATACAGTATTGGGAAGTTATGTCTGCCTCATGATACATGCTTCCAGCCCCATCTGGATTATGGAGATGGGTTAGATTTATCAGCACACTTCTATGTATTTTGCATTGCAGGTCGACGAGCATCCTTTCACCTGGAGTGTCAAAGGAAACAAAAGAAACAAAATACAGAAGTCAACCAGAAGACAGTCCTACCTGTGCATCTTGTACATCATCAGGTGAGCTTTCATTTCAAAGAATCCAGTCAAGGGGCACCACTCTACTTGAATGGTAATCTATACAACCTGATAGTGCTTCTCAGCCCAATTATTTTCCTGACTGGTATAGTGCCAAGAATGCCCCAAATTTTGATGTATCAGTTACATCTGGTGTGCCACTTGTATCTCTGGCTGAAGAGCAAGAATGTAGCTATGATCACCTACAATTTGGTAATCTTCCAGTTCACATGTATCAGGCAAAATCCAAAGAAACAAAACAAGACAAAAACACATGGTGCCTTAAAAACTATTATATTTTAATGTAAGCTTTCATGTACAGTACATGCTGTGGCTACCTCTTCTAAAATTGCAGTTCAGGTGTTGTACTGCACTGTATTTGGCATTACAGTTGCTGCAAAATTCACCTATTCATTCACTAACTTGGTTTGGCAAAAAGAACATACTGATCCTGTTGCTTTTTCCAAATAGGATCCAACTGGGTGGGGGACCAGCTGATCTGAATGACCCTCTTGTTGAAGCTCTGGTTGAGGGATTGTATACTCCGCAACCAGGGATGCTGACACAATCGCGCCCAAACTCCCCCTCCATTAGCAGCCCGTCTAGCCTTTTGGTATAATCAACAACTACGGTCAATGAAACAGAATAGAAGGAGGCTGGAGAGCATCCGGAGACAGGTTCCAATAGAATCTAACTTTAAAACTGCAAAAATCACATCAAGTATCTAGCTAGCTAATATGAAGGCCACAAGGAGAACATAATTTGCTATCCAGATAAGTGAAGCTCAAAATCCCAAACATTGCATCTGACGCTGAAACTCAACAAAACAGAAGTCCTGTGAGTGGGTGCCCCTAGTGTCTGCAGTTTGTGGGCCTCACTCTCTTCTGGGGGCTACTCTCTCTGCTAAGGATGAGGGTTGCAATCTGGGTGTACTCTTGGATCCAGCACTATCAATGGAGTCCAGGTAACATATGTAGTCCATTCTGCCTTTTTCCATTGGAGGTAGATTGCCCAGCTGCATCCCTACCTTGACACTGGGTCCCTCACCACACTAGTCCATGCACTTGAGATTAGACTACTATAATGCTGTTTATGTAGAGTTGCCTATGGGGCTGGTAAGGAAACTTCAGGAGTTCTAGACTATGGCAGCCAAATTATTGAGCAGAGCAAAATAATACCATCATATCTTCCCTACTGTGGCTGCCTTGCACTGGTTACCTGTTCATTTGCATGCCAGCTTCAAGGTGATGATGATGTTGACATACAAGGCCCTAAACAAGGTGCAACACCTTCTTCCAGTGGGATCTGCCTGACCTACCCAATATTTCGAGGATGAGCAGTCGAGATTACTGACCCTGTGAGAGGCCTGGAAAGAGAAGACCAGAAACCAAGCCTTCTCGGAGATTGTCCACCACCTCTGGAATAATCTCCCACCCGAAAATTCACCTGTCCCCTTCACTGGGAATTTAGACAGTCTTTCCCAGAGTTTACATAATCATAGCGCAGATGTTTTTCAGCACTTATACTATTTTTCTGTCACCTTGCCTTTTAAATTATTTTTAGTTGTTCTATGTTGTTTTTCTGTTTTTGGTTTGATAGGTTTAATTTGTTTTTTTGTATTGTTATTATGTTCAGTTTTTAAGTGTTGTCTGTTGTTTTACTGTGTTGTAAACTACCCAGAGTGGCCTTGGTAGACAGATGGGCAATATAGAAGTTGAATAAATAAATACATACATAAAATAGAAAACAAAGAAAAGAACTAGGAATAACTCAAATGCTGAGTTATTGAAAAAACACAACCTACAAACAGTATTCAGACCCACCACAAAAATACAACAAATGTTATGGTCAGCAAAGGACAAAAGGGACCCCTCACCACTGCAGGAGTATACTGGATACCTTGCAGTTGTGGACAGGTATATATTGGAACCACAAAATGCAGCATTCACACCAGAATCAAAGAACATGAGAGACACTGCAGACTAAAACAACTGGAAAAATCAGCAGTAGCTGAACATGCCCTAAAACAAGCTGGACATAAAATTTGATTTCAAAATACTGAAGTACTGGACAACACCAGCAATCTGTATCTATGTTAGACTGCACAGGGAAGCCATTGAAATCCATAAACATGAACAGAACTTCAACAAAAAGGCAGAAGTGGAGGTGCTTGCTTACACTTATAGGACCTCTGGGGAGGACAAGTCAAATAAATCATCATCTTTGTGAATTGACTCTGGTGAACTGGTGTGAAGTGGGAAATATACTTTCCACTAGGTACAGAGATGAAGAACAGCTAAGCTTTGGAGAATCAACAACATTATAGACCTTTGTACCACATAAACATGAGAATTTTCTAAGCTATCTTGCAATCTATCAAACTGCTATGTCTACTAATTTTCTATGTAGCATTGAATGAAATTATCAAAACCATGTATAATTTCTCTGCATTTCGATTTAATAGACTGCATTAGAATTGAGTGAATTTGAGACCAGGTTACATTTACCTTCTACCATTACACAAGACATTATTGTTAGTAACACAGAACAGAAAGTACACAGAAGCAAAACATTATAGCAATGCTATTAGTGTCTTAGAAATCACAACAGTGGGGCTCCTAGTTAAATGTGAACCATTTTCAAATCATGTTTACAGTTTCTTTTCCATTTTATGATTCAAATTGCAGCCATAATAATTTATTGTGGTCTCTGTTCTCTCTATATACAGGCACTAGCAGTTGCAGGTCTCAGTCCTCATCTCCAAAGAAGCCATTCACCTCTACGGTATTCTCGATCATGTGCCACACCCCCTACTACTCTCTGTACACAAGATTGGCCACAGCAACCTATTAAAACATTGCAACTTGATGGAGAGGAGTCTAATGAAAAACTCAATAATAGCTTCCCATCAGTATACTGCAGCTCTTTGTATTCTGACAGCACCAGCGCCAGAAGAACTCAAAAAGCCAGGCCAGTCTCCCTCACAGTTCCCAGCCAGACCAGAGTGTGTGGCAGGCAATTTCACGGCAGTGCTAACAGCCTTGTTGAAGCGGTAAGCTGATGCAGTATTAGCAATAGCTGTAACAAGGACAATAACAGTTAAATGGGGATCATTGCACAAAATGCTAGTTCGCAAATTATTAAAAATGTGATCCTCAGGGACATAACACCATATATATAAACATTATTGCCGGAATCGTATTAAGAGAAACTGTGCATATAAGGGCAATCACACCGTGGCTGAAATCCTGCTGCTTAGCATATGTCACAACTAGAATAGGTCCATTTAATCAATGGAACTTACAGAGAAGTTGATTCACCAAATCCCACTGATTCAATGGGACTATTCTGGTGTGACTTACTACACTAAGCAATAGGATTTCAGGCAGTATCTTTTTTTGCTCTTTTTGACCCTCTGTTGCACCATCTACTTTAAAACCAATGTGAGACAATACATTTTAAAGGAGCCTGCCACAATTGTTGGGAAATGCACATGATTGTCTTTCTGCTCTGCTTTCACTCAGTAGGATTCTGGCCAATACTGCATAGGCATAAAGAAAGCATATTTTTCTACAAAAATAAACACGAAGTTTAGATTTTATTTTAATTTACTTGCTTAAAAACTGATTAAATTTAAGATGTTTTTATAATTTAATATTGACTTACAATGTTTCATATTGAAAGCTTCCTTGGAAAGATTATTGTCTTGAAAGGCATCTAATAAAGACAGTAAATTGATAAAGCATTAATCTCACTAAATTACTAATTCCATAATTCCATCGTCATCATGGAGTCTTTGAGAACTATGTGGATTTTTGAGCAGTAACTCAGTAGGGAGATGATGTTTGCCCGATGTTTACCCAATAGAAACTGAAGAAGTTGTAGCTTAGGAGATGTAGCTAAGCTTTAACAATATGCTTGCCCTCCAATTTTTTTGCACCACTATAACCCTCCATCCCCCACCTGGGATTCCTATGGTTTTTAAAAATGAATATTATAAAAAACAATCATTGTAGCTGCTGGTTCAGAATGAGGCAGGGTAGTTTAATACTTTAAAGCAGGGGCCCCCAAACTCCCGGTCTGTGGCCGGTGCCAGTCCATGGAGACAGATATTGTGCCCCCCCACATGCACTCCCCCTGCACAGACCCTTCGCGCATGCACACGAGTATGTGCGCATGCCCTGCGAGCGTCGTCCCCCCCACAGACCTTGTCCCCAACCCCAACCAGTCCGTGGTGTCAAGAAGGTTGGGGACCACTGCTTTAAAGAGCTATTCAGTAAACTAAAATCTGCTGTGCCAAAAAACCAGGAGGATACCAACAGATGTATCCGTGTGTGTTAATAATGCTGAGTAATAAAGAGAAGTTGCTTTACAGGCTCTGAAGAGTAGATTGGAGGACTAGGAGTCAAAATAACATTTCTTTGATCAGTAAACATTCTAATATTTTTCTCAGTGCTTAGATTCCACTCTTCCATATAAAGAGAAATTATTTTTGTCAATTTCTCCCTCATTTCCCAGGTTTCTATTCAGTGTCCAATCATCCTCCAAGTCCAAATGAAGATTTTTAGGGGCAACAGAATGCTACAGAAAAAAGGGAACAACTAAAGAGCCCCATTGTATCAATTGTTCCACTTCTAGAATTCAAATTCAGACCATTGTGATGTTAAGCCTCCGTCACTAGATTTTTACTGCCATGAATAGAGATGGGCACGAACTGGAAAACCATGAGCTATCACAAACTCCTCCCCCCAAAATGAACTGATTCATGTTTCATTTTTTGGCTTCATGCAAAAAAAAACCTGCCAGCTCCTCTCCCTGCCCCCTTCTCCTCCTTGCCTTATCTTGAAGCTGCCACCTCCTCCTCTGCTGCTGCCATCCTGAGAGGCAGCAGACCCAACTCCTTGCATGGAAGCCAGGACTCTCGCCTGTGCATATGTGCCCACTTGTCAGCTGAGCAGCAGGTACATGAGCACAGGAAGTGGGCCCGGTTTCCATGGAAGGAGTGGGATTTGCTGCAAAATAAAACACTGGGGGGGGGGGAATGTTCAGTTCTACAGTTCAGCAAAACAGGATCCCCAAATCAAACCATGAACCAAATCACAAATCAATTCAGTTTGTGTGTTTTTTCTGGTTTGTGGTTCAGTTCATGCCCATCTCTAGCCATCAGTCTTCACAGGTACTGTTATGGCTTTTGCTTTACCAGGTAATATTAATACTGATTTCCATTTTTGTTTCTTGTGTTTAATCCTTGGCTCATTAAAGGTCTTGATTTCAGAAGGACTGATACAATTTGCTCAAGACCCAAAGTTCATTGAAACCACAACTCAAGAACTAGCTGATGCCTGTGATTTGACGATAGAAGAGATGGAGAATGCTGCAGACAACATTCTCAATGGTAACAGCAAGCCAAGCCCCAATGGCAACCTCTTGCCTTTTGTTAATTGCAGGGACCCAGGGCAGGACTGTATGGGAGACCAAGCGGAAGCAGCCCAAAACCTAGATTGTAGAAAAAGTCAAGAGGAGCCTGTGGACAGCAGGATTTATATCAGCAGCCTGTAATTGCCAAGGCTGAAAGTGATGCTGTTTTTTTTTTAATTTGTTTCAATGTTCCTAATGGGTTTGTTTCAGAAGTGCCTCACTGTTCTCGTGACCAGGAGTAACCAGAACAGCGTTCTTCATTCATTTCTGTTGGGAAGAATCAGTTGGGTGGTATAAAAGAGCTTTTCAGGAGTGAAATATACAACCCCAGCATGTGTCCATGTAGGAAGAATGAGGAGAAGTAAAAGGAGAAGAGTCAGCTCCCTCCTTTTTTCAGTCCATGCACAAGGAACAACAGCTACTTCCTGAATGTGAAGGAAAACCTCAGCTTCCAGTGGATGGCCCTAGCCAATAGGACACTGCATCAAACGGGTGTCTTTCAACGTTGCTTGTACAAAAAAGAATCATTTTGCACATATTCTGTATGAGCCTCACCATCTCCATGAAGCCAAGGCCCTTTTGATCTACAAATGGAATAGAAGACTTCTGCAACAGATCCCCACACTTTCTTGACAAGAAAAGAGCAGAAGCTGTAAGGGTACAGGAGATGAAAGTGGCAATACTACAGATGCTTCTTGATGGAAATGCAGAGACTTTCGGCAGTTGTCTTTGCTAACCAATCAGAGCTCAGGCAATCTTCCTTGCCGACCAATCAGAGCTCAGACAGGTAGCTGTCCCAATTGCTCAAAGAGCAGGAAGCCAGCTCCGTCCAATTGGAGTCCAGGCAACCCAACCATTTCGAAGAGAGATGGTGATGGGCTTATGTAGATCTCTCCTTGTTTTTGCAGTTTATTTTTTTGAAAGCATGTTCTAATTTTTTAATACATTATTTTAACTGTATTTTATTTTTTGAAGGAGAGGAGTGAAGGGAGTGTTTACAAAGTTTTGTAATCACCTACCATTTTGTTTTTCACCATTGCAAATGTTGGTTTGATCTGATTATGTTGTACTATTTAAATTTTGTTTTCTTCAACTGAAATTTGGTAGAAACTAATATTAGAGTTTTGCCAACCATCATGTACACCAAAATTTATAATTTTATTTGAAATACTGGGAAATCCTTTTTTGTTGTTGTTTTATAATTTAAGGATAGTAGGCAATGCACTTGATATAGTCTTGCACATATGGTTGATCGATTTGGATTATTTGTAGTGCTAGGGTGTGTGAATGAATGAACAGGACTGAGTGGGTGAGTGAGTGAGTGAGTGAATGCTTGAAAGTATGTAAGATCATACAGTTCTCCACTTCCTGGTTAAAACTGCAGGAGAGCTGTATCTGGGGTCATTTGAGTGAAAAAATAAACCACCGTCTCTGCTTTTGAAAGGGGAATCAGTAACTCTTTGCATTTTCTGTTCCACAAGATATGCAAAAACAATGCAATAATATTAATTTTGAATACAATTTGTGAATTGTGTTGGCATTAAAACCGTATAGAAAAAGATTAAAAACAAAACAACAAAAAAGAAAACCAAGTGAGGAGGAGTTACATTTCGATATATTTCATGTGATGTTTTATTGCATTGATAATGTTTCTGTTGAAGAAACCGTAATACTTGAATTCAGGTCAGTTTCAGTATTTTTCAACTATTTTTTTAAAACAAATTGCAATTGTGCCAAGCAAATATAATGAATTAAGTTTGTTTAGGGGGGGGGGATAACAATTCTTGTATATTTTGCTGCATGTAAAGTAAATCATTTCGTATTTGGAGTGTGCCAAGCTTTACCTTTGAACTTTTAAGTGCTTTTCTACGTGTGGTTGGGGAAAGGGGTAAACTTTTTTTCCCTTTTTTAGTTTGTAAAATGAACAAAGTGTACCTGGTGTTAAATAACTATTCTGCAACCCACTGGCAGGTTGAACATTAACTGATTTTGCATATCTTGTGTTCACTTTCTTTTTCCTGCACTTCCTTAAACATGCATGGTAACAAATTGGGAATAGTATACAGTATTGCCCTTTGCAGTTCTGTCAATGATTCTCCTCATTAAAGGGTGGTAAACTTGCCAAGATTATCCAATAGATCCATTCCTAAAAACTGAGCTGGCACCAGCAACCTGAGAGTGGGGGAATATCTCATGTCTGTTAATACAGAGAGAACTACCAGAATAATAATAATACGGTGACACTAAATCATTATTTTCAGGAGTTAGTCATTGATTTAGTAGAATATATATATCAGGAATTTAATCCTTTTGACTAAGTTCATACATTTGAAGAACTATTTTAGAGAAGCCATTCTCAACTTTTTTTTTCACAGACATAAACACAATATGAAAGAAATATAGGCTGAATCAGGTTTGTCTACGTCACATAATACAAGGTGGTGTGTGAAGAACTGTTTCCAGTTTGTGGCCCCCTTCCAGTTTGCCTGGGGTTCCCAGGGAGTCATATGGCTCCCGTTGAGAATGTCTGCTTTAAATAGAGAAAGCAACTCTAACAAAAAATTGGAGTAAGCAAGAACATGTTACTTGCAAGAAGGAAAAAACAAATGTACAAGTATAAGACTAAGAACCTACCAAGTAATAACATTGCTAAGAAATATTAGATTATGTTGAAGAAAACACAGATATACGTATGCCAGCAACTCAATAATGAGGCTAAAGGATTTTAGGTTGTACTAAATGAAGATAAATGTCAGTTTTTAAAACATGTTCCAAGGGTATCCATAAAATGGAAAAAGTTCATAAAATAATAAAGACAACTACATTGAAAGAATCTGGCATTTCTAGCCAACAGAAAAATATAAGCAATTGGGGTCAGAGATAAAACCCTGGCTGTTTTAATAGAGAAGGCAGAAAATTAGGTGGCCAATGTCTACCATAATCCCAATTCAGAGATGTGTACATACAGTACTACAGTACCCACACATTGCTTATGTATATGTGTTTGGATATATTTACAGTAATTTCACAGCTGATCATATAGTTTGCACTATGACTTCCTTTGACAACAAACATTTGTTTCTGAGGATTGTTGTTGTTTAGTTGTGTCTGACTCTTTGTGACCCCCTGGACCAGAGCACGTCAGGCCCTTTTGTCTTCCACTGCCTCCCGGAGTTTGATCAGATTCATGTTGGTAGCTTCTATTACGCTGTCCAACCATCCTGTCCTCTGTCGTCACCTTCACACTTTCCCCACATCAGGGTCCTTTCCAGGGAGTCTTCTCATAAGATGGCCAAAGTATTGGAGCCTCAGCTTCAGGATCTGTCCTTCCAGTGAGCATTCAGGGTTGATTTCCTTTAGAATGGATCGGTTTGTTCTCTTTGCAGTCCAGGGGACTCTCAAGAGCCTCCTCCAGCACAATTCAAAAGCATCAATTCTTTGGTGGTCAGCCTTCTTTATGGTCCAGCTCTCACTTCCATTCATCACTACTGGAAAAACCATAGCTTTGACTATGCAGACCTTTGTTGGCAAGATGATGTCTCTGTTTTTTAAGATGCTGTTGAGGTTTGTCATCCCTTTCCTCCCATGAAACAGGCATCCCAAGAATCAGGTGTCTTTTAATTTCAGAGCTGCTGTCACCATCTGCAGTGATCATGGAGCCCAAGAAAGTAAAATCTGACATTGCCTCCATATCTTCCCTTTCCATTTGCCAGGAGGTGATGGGACCAGTGGCAATGATCTTTTTTGATGTTGAGCTTCAGACCACTTTTTGCACTCTCCTCTTTCACCCTCACTAAGAGGTTCTTTAATTCCTCCTCACTTTCTGTCATCAGAGTGGTATCATCTGCATATCGGAGGTTGTTGATATTTCTTCCGACAATTTTAATTCCAGCTTGGGATCCATACAGTCCAGCCTTTCACATGATGTATTCTGCATATAAGTTAGATAAGCAGGGAGACAATATACAGCCTTGTTGTGCTCCTTTCCCAATTTTGAACCAATTAGTTGTTCCATATCCAGTTCTAACTGTTGCTTCCTGTCCCACATATAGATTTCTCAGGAGACATATAAGGTGGTCAGGCACTCCCATTTAAGAACTTGCCATAATTTGCTATGGTCCACACTGTAAAAGGCTTTTACGTAGTCAAAAATTCAGAGGATTACTGCTAGTTAAAAAGGTGGCACTTGTCATTTTTTGCCCCATGCCATTTCACACAGCTGATGTGTGACAAAAAATACAAGTGCTGACTTTTAACTCGCAGCAATTCACCACTGAGATTTGCATCCCCAGACTTTATGACCATTGTAACTGACAGTAATGACTATGATTAAGTTGATATGCGTAGCTTGCAATTCAGCAACAGAAAATGTAGCCTCAGATACTTAGTGCAATAACAGAATCTTGAAACTATGTGTGCTGCCTCCTTTGGAATATACATAGCTCAGAGCAAAAGGACTGCACCTAGAGGTCATGTTACATAGCAGAAAGCAGCTAGAAAAATGCATTTAAATCAGAGATAGATAGCCAATAGTGGTTTTTTTTCGTACTTTTCAGTAAGAACCTGTTCAAAGAAGTTAACAAAGAGAAAAAGATTAATAATGTTCCCCAGGAAATGTCAATTCATTGTTTTAACAACATTAGCCAGAAAGAAAAGGCCTTTTTTTGATTCTAATTTTTTACAAATTTGCTTGGTTAGGACCCTTACAGTTCTCTTCAGCCACACATACACGTATAGAAGGCTTCAAAATCTAACGAAGAGGATTTGGTTTAAATATAAGGAGCCATCTATAAAGAATTAATGAAATCTTGCTCAAAGAAAACTAATCATTTGTGCCTTATGTATACACATTGTATATAGCAGATTCCTCAGATCCCATATTAGGCATTAGGGAGAAGTCATGCTGCTTCTAAAATGAAGCAGAATCTGCTGGAAGTAGCTGGTTCTTATTTTACTTTTATGCTTGATTTGTGAAGATATGTTGATATCGACAGAGACCTCTTGCTTTGAGGGATACACATACATTACGTGCTTTCATTCAGATTTTATTAATGCAAAACAGCTGACACTTCAATACTATACACAATAAGATTTACTGCTGAGAGGATATATGTAAGAATGTACTGCTTTATGATTGTAACATTAAGTAGTAAATGAGCCATACCAGATCTAATACCTCAAAGGCTATTCATATAATCTCAAATAATATACTGTACAACTCAAACAGCCCTTTTTACCTTACCTTTATAACATGGATGCTGATTTAATGTGAACCATTCTGGCATCACAAAGATAATAACTGAACCCCAAGACCACAGTGAAGGAAGCAAAAATATGACTTTTTCTCATGTTAGCATAAGCCTTCTTTGGAATGGATGGTGCTACTGTGTGAAAGTCCCTTACACTGCCAAAGTAGTGTAGCAAAGCACTGAAGCAAGCAAGTTCTCACACTATTAAAGTAGTAACAGAAAGAGAGCAAACTTTTCCATTGAATGAATTCACACATTCAGCTATAAGACATGGAGTATTGAACAATCATACAATGTGAAATTGTGATATATGTGTACAACAGCTCTAACTGGACAAGAAATTTTCAACACAACTTCAAAATTACCCGTGCTGTGTTGACCAGTGCTCAGTAATTAACTGAGATGCTGGTTGTTTTCTGATCTAGAACTTAATGCCACAAATAGTATAATACTGGTATCCACTGGTTATGTATGGGTGCTATTTCCTTACCATCTGTACTATGTGAGCATGTTTTGCCAGACAAAGTGTCTCTCATGTACCCCAGTCATCATAAATAATGTATTGTTTTCTTATATATTTAGTAAGGAAAGCATCCTGCTAGAATTTTGCAGATTTACATAAAGGCATGGAGAACATGCATAAAGTGACAGCATAGGTAATGAATTTTACTTGCTACGAGATTAATAAGCATGCTGTCCAAGCAATTATGAAGAATATGATGAAAATTTCATAGAAGGCCTAAAAATGAATAGTCTTCACACAGAGAATGTGCATATTGACAAAGTAGTTTGAGCTAACCTTTTCACATTGTCAATTTCTGCATATTCAATCAACATATTTGGGAGGCTAAGCAAAATAAGTAGGCAATGTAGAAAAAATCCTGTCTCAGTGCTTATTTTCTATGGTTCCATATGAATGTGCATAATTTCCCACTCATGCAAAATCTTCTTTCAACTTATGTTATACCCATCTGACAGGAATCAATATTGTATTTCTTTTTTAATATATACTGGTGCTAGAATTTCTGTCAAACAGTCTGATCACATATTGAATAGCCTTATGGTTGAATATTAATGATCTGATTATAGGAAGTGTAGAACATCTTTTTGCATTTATGGGACCACTTTTTAAAAAGTGTCCAATAGTTCTGAGAAAAAGCAAATTGCCTACAATAGGTTCTTCAGCTATCATTGTACATTGGGGATTCTGCAATTAGATGAAGACATTTTCAGTTTCAAGCACAAGATGACACTACTTGCTCCTGTTATGAAAATCCTATCAATAACTAAGATGTCTATTCGCTAACATTGTTATTAGGCTACCCTCTTTCTGATATAGATTGATGAGAATCATAAGGTGTCCTGCAGATGTTTGTAAGTAGAGATTGGTGAACAGTGGACTATTTGCTGGTGCCAGTACAGTTTTGCTGGTGGGTGGTTGCCATTTCAGCTCAAGTGGTTGTAACAAATACACACAAAAGGTTGATCTCAGTGCACCTGAGCAAAGAGCTACTGCCTTCTTAATGTGGGGGAGAGTCTGGGGCACAGCAGGTGAAGGTTTGGTTCCATAATATGTACTTTCTTTTCCCTTTGTATTGGGCATATGTGCTGGATACATTTGTGCACTGCAGATGGAATCTTACAGAAACTAAAGACTGGATGTTTTCTAGGGGGAAAAACACCACTCTTTCAGTATGCCCACTTGTGCACCTTGACAACTGTCTACACCACAGACTAAAGACCTTTACTGAACCTACTGAGACTTCCATCTTCCCCAGTCACCACCAGTCATTTCACCAAACTGGTTACTATGGATGTATTTCCTTTCTTTCCTTATCTTGTATGATTTAAATGATGGGGGGAAATGTGGAGTTAATGATCCAGAGCTGAAGTTCCCTTGACCCCAGAACTATTCTGCATTCTATATCTCTTCAGGTGAACATATATGGTGAAGATGTTGATGATTTCAATGATGCAGATGTTGCTGCTACTGCAAGGGATCTGATCTGTTTTATTACCCCAACCCCCACCGTCTGAAGGGACAGCCAAAGGAGCACTATGTACAGGACCACATCTATTTCTGCTTTGTTTTTTTAGCTCTTAATTCTAGCCCCACCCTGTTGATGACTATTGACAACAACAACAACAAAAGGGCAAATGCATTTTTTTACATTTCTTGATAATTTCTAAAGCAATGTATCATTGCTTTCTCTAGACTGATGCCAATATAACAGTTGTATGGGTCTCAGCCAGGCTCCTGTGTCTTTTTCTAAGGGTTTGAGATCACTTTGCAACACATACTCAGACTCAAATATGATTTGACAAGCAAGGGGACAACTTTTCAAGCAGATAAATAGTTCATTTGATGGTTAAAAGCAAACACAAAACCATTCCCAAGAGAACAAGCCAAATTTCAAACACATTCTGCATACTAAAGAAGATTTTTGACATATTATGTACCATGGAACAGGAATTATGAAACAGTGAGAATGGATAAGCAGACAGTTTGCCCAGTTAATCTCTAGAGAAGATTAACCATTTATATGGATTGGGTTATACTTCACAATACAAGAGATGATTGCTTTGTCTGCCACTGTTTCTCATGGAAGTTGAGCAGAACAGCCCTTTCCTGACAGTTAACATTTCCAACTAATTAATATTTCCCAGACCATCCAAAAGAATGAGGCACAAGCAATGACCAATCATTTTGAGCTTAATTTTCCTGACAAATAAGTGTAAATATGTAAAGTACAACTAACTGAAGCTAATAACTTTATCTGGAAGGAATTGATAGTGTCATCCAATTTAATATTCTGATTAGGTATAAGCAAATGTAAGAGGATAGGTAGGAATACCTTGGAACCCTATAACAAAGCATGACCCAGAGAAATTATCAGATGT